CCTCTGAACTAACACTAACAGAGTAAAATGTTTGGAAGCAGTTTCAGTCACATCAAGAGAGTGCTTTTTCTTTACCTATTTGAAAAAGGAATTTATACCAATTGGTGCTGCTTTATAGTGGTTAGACAACTGGGTCAATATGGAATGTCAAAGCCATGCTGGGAATTACTGTCGACCACAAAATCATACTATGGTTTCTGAGATCCAAATACTGATTGGGATAAAAAAAAAATTGAGAAATATGGTTATTTTGCAACATTGATTGAGGTCTAGTCAGCCGTCCCACTCTTTTAGCCTTCAAATTAAAAAAAAATGGTCTGTGTTTTCACCTTGTCTTTTGTTGTGAAACACAAAGTATTTGATATGACAAGATTTTTCTCAGCCGTTTCTACCAACTATACTCTAAGTATATCATAGTGTAACTTGGCGGACACCTCATGGATACAGCTTTCTGTAGAAAGATCGTCCCACAGAAGTGTAAAAGCGTACGTGACATTACCAAAAAGCGTTATCGGTGGACGTATTTTGTGATAATCGGTATTGACATAAATTGATATTTTGCCGACAGGGAACAGAGAAATGGGTGCGAGCGTAGCACGCGAGGACTCCTGGGTAGTACGTTTGTAAAAATAGACGGTTGAGAAACTTTTGGCATTCGACGGTCAGCCTTGCCTCTAGCACTTCCGGATTAGGTTTATTGTTATTATTTTTTTCGTTCTAGGCTTGCGTAAATAGCGTTATCTGATTTATCTTATGACCCTTAAAACTCCAAAGGCGGCGCTATGCATTTGGTCGGGATTACACGGTCCCTATATTTTCTAATAAGAGATTTTTGGGGTTTTCGTGTCCGGCTTTGGCGCTTGTAGGATGTTATTTGATGTATCTCTTATCCACTCTGTTATGACCTTATCGTCTCAATTAAAACATATCTTGGGCCTGGCTGACCAACGCGCCCATGCCTTATAACCTTTGAGTGTGTTCGGTTGTGTAGTGAAGGCAAAATTGGCAGTTAACTATTGTTTCAACACATATATTCTTGAATTTGCCTTCTATCGCACTGAAAGGGCGTGAATTCAACCAATTGTAAACTCATGTACGCTTTTCGCGCCTTTGTAGGAAAACTTTTCTCAAAACAGCTGTATTCATATTTACTACGAAATGAAATGATTTCTTTGAAAATCACTATCTGTGTATACTTCCTCCTTTGATGGAGCGGATCACATAATGATAACCAGCAAAATGCCGGATACCCTTCTACTGGGGTTGCCAAAGTACATTTACACATCGATGCCATAGCACGGCATAATGAAAGGGTACTAAAAAATTGTTTTTCTTATTTTTATATATTTTCGTAGAGTTGAAGAGTTCACAGCTTGATCCACCACTCTTAAATCCACAAGTCACTCATGTAAGTGTACTTTCTAATACTTGTCTAATAGTCTATGAGCGAATTGCCCACGAGGCACAGGCGAGTTGATTATCGATCGCTGAAAACAAGAGCGAGTTAATGTCTTAGTAGACACTATAAAGCATAGCAGTCAAACACCTTGACTGTTAGCTATTTTAGCCCAAAGTTTCCCTTTCAATGAAACACAAGCTTGATCTTGATCCTTAAGGAATCAATCAAAAATAGAAGAACCAATAAGACTTCGCAGAAAGTTTTTAAAATGTAAACAAAACTGGAGTAAATTGTATAGCAAGTTGTAACGATTTCAGTTAAATCCTTCGATACAACTTTCAAGGATAAAAAGTGAGGGAAAGATATTTCTTGCCTTGTCAGTTGGAAGAAGTAGAATGACATCATTTCTCTGTCTAAAAGAAACTGAAGCATTGGTCGCTTTTGATAACAGCCTATTTACCAGAAATCCCATGCAAGTACAAACAGGGGCAATTAAGATAAGGTCTTACAGGGTCGAGATCAATTTGTTTTTTGTTTCTGCTGGTTTCATTTTCCATTGCAAATTAACGCAAAGTGAACAACACCTCTTAATCTGAGCAAGCATGGTAAGAACATTTACATTCGAAAATTCATGCCTGGTTTTACCTAATATCTGCCATTTAGGTAGACAAAGTGGTGTGTAAAGAGCAGTCCCTTGCAGTAGATGAGCAACCCTTCGATGTTGTGGGAAAGCCGTGCTTTAAGGACCTTTCCTCTGATCACAAGTCTAAGAACTTTGAAAGAGATTCTTCTGTTTCCCAGAACAAGATAGCCCATAAGACAGAAAGCAAAGATGAGTTCTTCATACCCAGTCAGCAGCATAAAGGCGCCCAAAAGGTAAACAATGATATCGACGTGCTCGTCTACTCATTTCTTGCACTTTAGTCGTTATCTTGAGCCTGGTTCTCATATGCCGCCGACATACCTGGGACGGCCTGAGACACCGTTACGACATGTCAGCATTTATCGCCGAATCATAATCTATCCCAGGCATTGACCGCCGTCTTGCCCGCGAAGTTGAGCTGAGTTCAACTTTGCAGGCAAGCGGCGGTTGTTGGCGATGAAAATATTTTATGTGAACAGCATCTGCAGATGCAATGAATGATGTAACAACTCGATTTTCCCCACAATTCCATATTTACAGATTGAATGGTTGAAAATTGCGCCAATTCGATTTTCATTTCGCGCCAATTTGAGTACGTCGGCGATCAATCGCAGATGCGCCAAGGACCCGCTGGAATAGATTGCGGAACGTTGTCAGTTGCAACCGGTCGCAGGTAGGTCGGCGACATTTGAGAACCAGGTTTTAGAAATGAGGTAACTGGCTTTGTAAGAACTTCATTCATAGTGTTGGATGTCTCTTCTATATTTAATCTCTGAAAGGAAACAAAAACCAATCAAATGGCTTGTTAGGTAATTGCTGTAATTGACTAAAGCAAGGTGTGTACGAAAATGGAAATGTCAGTCAGGTTTTCTTATAGTAGTTTGGATTAGGGTAGGTTTTATTCTCAAAGTGGTGCATTTATTACTAAAGCTAAACAATGTGAAAATATGGTCATGTGAACATTATAGCTGACCAGTCTTACCTGATTAAAGCCTTAATGGACGCGTTTTATGGTTTGCTTTTCAGGTTGCAGACAGCAAAGACGTCTTTCCTCTTGCGTCATGTTTTGATGATAGACAATATGAGTTTTCGTGGCAGCGTCAGCAGTGGCAGCGATGTGAAAGCAATGTACCCAAGGTGCAAGAAATATGCAAGCTTCCAGGTATTTTTCACTTGCATTATATAATACGAAAATTGTTGTCTAAACAACAAACGAGCCAGTTATATTTCCTTTCCTAAATCTACAAAAAAGGAAACACTGTATTAAGTTCTTAAAACCTAATTCTTCGCCAAGATAATTACCGTAAATCCTCGAATTAGCGCCCCTCCTATCGGCCAAAATTTAAAATAAGCGCCTGCCCCTCGAATAAGCGCTTCCCTCCACTCCCCCTATTTTGTAGACGAGTAATGAGACAGCAAAGGATGTATAGTTTTCGTCGTGTAGTATTAGATTTGTACAGTGTTTAATTTGTGACCACATGGATTTCTAATGGTGCCGCGATTTAAACTTTAGGATCAGTTTTTTTTATGTCGATAAACAGCTTATGCTGTTGTTTACGTGCAGATGATGTATTTGAAAAATGATCAGGTCAGGCCACGATTTGGGAAAATTAAATAAGCGCTCCCCGCCCCCTCGATTAAGCACCCCCCCTCAAATAAGCGACCCCGTCTTCTCCTAAATTTGAAATAAGCGCCCCGGGCACTGATTCGAGGATTTACAGTATCATTGTATTCAAGAGATGACATGTAAAGAATGTGAGAGCAAAAAAGCAACTCTATGAACACCTCTGAACTAACACTAACAGAGTAAAATGTTTGGAAGCAGTTTCAGTCTCATCAAGAGAGTGCTTTTTCTTTACCTATTTGAAAAAGGAATTTATACCGATTGGTGCTGCTTTATAGTGGTTAGACAACTGGGTCAACATGAAATGTCAAAGCCATGCTGGGAATTACTGTCGACCACAAAATCATACTATGGTTTCTGAGATCCAAATACTGATTGGGATTAAAAAAAAAAATGTTGAGAAACATGGTTGTTTTGCAGCACTGATTGAGAGTCTAGTCAGCCGTCCCACTCTTTTAGCCTTCAAATGAAAAAAGTCTTCTGTGTTTTCATCTTGTCTTTTGTTGTGAAACACAAAGTATTTGATATGACAAGATTTTTCTCAGCCATTTCTACCGACTATACTCTTAAGTATATCATAGTGCAACTTCGCAGACACCTCATGGATACAGCTTTCCCAAGAAAGATTGTCCCACAGAAGTGTAAAAGCGTACGTGACAGTAACAAAAAGTGTTATCGGTGGACGTATTTTTTGATAATCGGTATTGACATAAATTGATATTTTGACGACAGGGAACAGAGAAATGGGTGCGAGCGTAGTACGCGAGGGCTCATGGGTAGTATGTTTGTAAAAATAGACGGTTGAGAAACTTGTGGCATTCTGCGGTCAGCTTTGCCTGTAGTACTTCCGGATTAGGTTTATTGTTATTATTTTTTTCGTTCTAGGCTTGTGTAAATAGCATTATCTGATTTATCTCATCAACCTTTAAACTCCAAAGGCGGCGCTATGCATTTGGTCGGGATCACACGGTCCCTATTTTTCCTTGTAAGAGATTTTTGGGGTTTTCTTGTCCGGCTTTGGTGCTTGTAGGATGTTGTTTGATGTATCTCTAATCCACTCTGTTGTAACCTTATCCTCTCGATTAAAACATATCTTGGGCCTGGCTGACCAACGCGCCCATGCCTTATGACCTTACAGTGTGTTCGGTTGTGTAGTGAAGGCAAAACTGGCAGTTTACTATTGCTTCAACACACATCCTTGAATTTGCCTTCCATCGCACTGAAACGGTCACTCAGGTACGCTTTTCATGCCCTTGTAGGAAAACTTTTCTCAAAACAGCTGTATTCATATTTACTACGATATGAAATTATTTCTTTGAAAATCACTATCTGTGTATACTTCCTCCTTTGATGGAGTGGATCACATAATGATAACCAGCAAAATGACACCCTTTTACTGGGGTTGCCAAAGTAAATTTGCACATCGATGCCATAGCACGGCTGTGGTGTGTTGTCGAAGAAGTTTATTCTGCTTGTTCATACACACCGCGTGAATGTGTGTGCTTTCTAGATTTGCATAATGTGCTAGCCTACTTAAATATGCGTACACAGAATATAACATACAATAGGTGCTAATTCTCACGTGCCAATATGTTACAACGGCATAATGAAATAGTACTAAAAAATTGTTTTTCTTATTTTTCTATATTTTCGTAGAGTTGAAGAGTTCACAGCTTGATCCACCACTCTTAAATCCACAAATCACTCATGTAAGTTTACTTTCTAATACTTGTCTAATAGTCTATGAGCGAATTGTCCACAAGGCACAGGCGAGTTGATTATCGATCGCTGAAAACAAGAGTGAGTTAATGTCTTAGTAGACACTATAAAGCATAGTAGTCAAATAGCTTGACTGTTAGCTATTTTAGCCTAAAGTTTCCCTTTCAATGAAACACAAGGTTGATCTTGATCTTTAAGAGTGATTTTCTGAGAGTGTCGAGAATCGGAAGACAGTCACGAAAAATCGATTTTTCTTTTATTTCGCCAAAACATACCTTTGGGTGAACTTATTCAAGGAAAAATCGTTTAATGTTCCGACGATTTATTTTACGGCCAAAATTTAAGAAAGTTCGAAATTTGCATATTATGGCGGTTTTCGCGGCCTAAAATGTTCAGAATTTCACGCTTCTTTACGAAAACAGCGGGGGCGTAAAAACAATCCTATGAAAACAAAACTTGGCACAAATATTATTTCATTCTTATACTTTAAAATCGTGTAATAAGTTTCTTGAAGTTTTGTTTGTAGCTTTTTAACGAAGGGTATTTGTACAGACGCCATTTGTGTCTCTTGGTAAGGAACAAATAAAGGCCAACTTTGACTAGTATAAATGGCCTCTGGTATATATCATTTGGTCAAAATACCTACATTTTAGGAAACCTTGGTTATTGTTTTTTTCACCCGAAAAGTGATAGCTCTGGGAATTAAAGTGTTCTCCGTCAGTAAAATAAAATGTTACGGCATGTAAGCGAGTTCAATTTTATGCAAATCACAAGGTTATTCCTTGGAAGTCAACGGTTTAAAACAGGAAACAACGACTTACCGTTACTTACGTTCCTTCTGCTGCTATAGAAAAGATTTTAACTTCCCAGTGTCCTTGTGAGCTCTGCTGTAAAATATTTCCAGTAAAACAGCGAGCATAAACGGCCATTTAATTCGACAAGGTCGACAATGTTTATATTTGAGATGAGACACTGATTGGCACACACAGTCTTGGCTATTTTCTTCGTCTTGCTCAGTCGAGAGTCCTTTAAAAATATGATAGAATATACGCTTCAAACCGTAGTAAATTAGTTTCTCACATCCATATGCCTCATGTCGACTCATGAGTAAATAACTCAGTCCCCGTACACTGAATAAACAACTCGAATGACCTCTGAGGTCAAGAGGTTAGGGTTAGAACCCTAAAAAAACCCACACAAGTAGAAACAGGGGCAATTAAGATAAGGTCTTACAGGGTAGAGATCAATTTGTTTTTCGTTTTTGGCTGGTTTCATTTTCCATTGCAAATTAACGCAAATTGAACAACACCTCTTAATCTGAGCAAGCATGGTAAGAACATTTACATTTGTGAAAATTCATGCCTGGTTTTGCCTAATATCTGCCATTCAGGTAGACAAAGTGGTGTGTAAAGAGCAGTCCCATGCAGTAGATGAGCAACCCTTCGATGCTGTGGGAAAGCCGTGCTTTAAGGGCCTTTCCTCTGATCACAAGTCTAAGAACTTTGAAAGAGATTCTTCTGTTTCCCAGAACAAGATAGCCCATAAGACAGAAAGCAAAGATGAGCTCTTCATGACCAGTCACCAGCATAAAGGCGCCCAAAAGATAAACAATGATATCGACGTGCTCGTCTCTGACAGTTGGCTTTCTTTTGCACAGTTTCACGACGTGAATGAAGACCTGGAAGGTTTAAGTGCTGTGTCACTGTGTTACGACTGTGTTACTAAGAATATAATCAGACCTACGAATACCAACAGCAAACTTTGCCTGAGTGAATGGGTAATATACCTTGGTGACAGTTTGGCGAAAAACACTTCATTAACTACTCTCGGACTAACAATTGACAACTGTGACAAATTATCCTTGAGTGAAGACTGGGCAAAAGGTCTGGATGATGGTTTGGCGAAAAACAAGTCACTAACTACTCTCAGCCTAACAATCAACAGCAGCAAGCTTTCCATTAGTAAGGATTGGACAAAAGGTCTGGCTGACGGTTTGGCGAAAAACACGTCATTAACTACTCTCAGCCTAACAATCAACAGCAGTTACCTTTCCATGAGTGAAGACTGGTCAAAAGGTCTGGNCTGACGGTTTGGCGAAAAACACGTCATTAACTACTCTCAGCCTAACAATCAACAGCAGTTACCTTTCCATGAGTGAAGACTGGTCAAAAGGTCTGGGTGACGGTTTGGCGAACAACACGTCATTAACTAATCTCAGCCTAACAATCAACAGCAGTGAGCTTTCCATGAGTAAAGATTGGACAAAAGGTCTGGCTGACGGT